GTTTTGAATGATGTCTGATACGAAGTCCTCGATATAGAGATTGGCAGGACGGAACGAGCGACAAGGAATCGTCATGGAAATTAATTAAGCAGGGAGGGAAAAGAGGGAGAAGCAAGGAACGTTCAGAGACGGGGCCTGCAGCAGAAGAAAATTGACAAGGATACGAACCAGTCCCTAGTGTCTGTCTACCTTACTCAACTGAGGAGAAGAAGCAGACTAGCGTTCTGTACAGAGAAGGTATGTCAGTGGCGTAAGTCGCAGGACGGGATGGAGATAGCGCACAGAGATTTGGAAACTGGAAACTCACTGGAAAGGGGGGAATAATTACAGTCGTTGATGATAGTGGACGGTTGCCAAGGAAGTGATGGAGAAGAGGGATGCAGTTCAATTGATGATTTGATGCTCCTGACCGTAAGCGCCCAGCGTCGAGAAGCATAATCATCCTGGGTGGTTGTCATGATGGTTATCCCACTTATTAGGTATTATTAGCTTCCCCCTGCAGGTGTAGGACGTTGTGGAACGGCTCATGGAGGAATCGGTTGGTTACTTTTGATGATTCTCTTTCAAGGGATCTGATTTGATCGAGGACTGTGCAATAAGATTCGATAATCACAAAGTAAGTTGAGCAATCAAGGGTGACGAAGGGCGAACGGGCCCTTGTACTTGGTGAGCTGAAGGTGTGATTGATGGGCTCCAGCAAAAGGCCCGTCCCGATCTATGCGGGGCCATCATTATCGTCACATTCTCAGAGAGTACACTCTGTCAGGCCATGCTTGGTTAATGAGGTCTAGAGATCCATTTGAACAGTCATGGCAGAATCCTTCAAGTCTTCCTGCAACTAATAAGATAGATGCTTCCACCAACTCTTCCCAATCTAACACGCCTCCAGCACATCGACGGGGTTTAGGCTCTCCCGCGTCCCCGCCACGGCGCTTGCACAGCGACCCATCAGTTGTTTTCGGAAGATACATCTCTTCAAGATTCCATCTAGAGCAACAGGGATTGCTTCGGCCCTTATTACCATACCAGGGAAGCTTCGGTTAGTGAGCACGATGATTAGCCAGCCAATGACGGAGGAATATACGTACTTACTTACCTTAGGCTGGCACTAGCTACTTGGATCTCTATCCTCAATTATTGACCATGAACCCATGATAGTCATCTAGCCGATAGCATGGCAGCCACTAGCTTTACTATTGATGCAAGGAGAAGACGTTGTCATCGGTCAGACAGGGATGAATATTTCTAGCGATGCAGGAGAAGAAACCACTGTCCAATGACCATCTTCTGGCGATTGCTCTCAACACCTCGACGGTCTATATTTAGGCCTCTACTGCCTTTTCTGTGGAGGTGTTCTGACATGCCGCGTTGCTATCTTGGATCTCGACATCACCGATGGTCAGCTGTTTGGACATAATGGTCCGTTGTTCTTGTCGTGTACAATTGTTGTCCTCGCTCGCACTCAGAGTCCGCGAGGTACACCATCAGTGCCCACTGCCCACTGTTCAGTGGAGGTTCGGAGTGTTCAAGTCCCATTGGGAACCTTACAGGTCCCACCTCTCTTTCCGCGTACCATTCTTGCTTGTGCGTGCATCTGCAGTCCTCATGCAGCAAACCATTCTGTTCAATTGACATCATCCCCGCGATAGGTATCATAAATCAGTGCAAAAGTTGGGAGACATCCTAGACTCTAAAAGTCTAGACCATTCCCAGGGAAACCTGTTCCTGGCGCTCCTGCCATACATTCTTTCCCGAACATGAGCAGACAGTCTTGTCGTTATCCCACACACCCGCACTGCGAGCGATCACACCGACCAATGTATCAGGATCCTCTCGTCGAAAAGGGCCTTCTTGGCTCTTGGATACGACCATACTCCGCCCAATCATCTCCCAAACCGCCACCGGTCGATCCAAAAAGACATTCCCCCGACCCTTGTCATCCACGTCCACACTCCCAAAAATGCCGCGCGGCTCCTTGGGCGCCTCGGAGCCCATCACCTTGGCCTTCAGCGCCTCCCAGATACCCCCCGTAGATTCTGCGCCTCGCGAGATATCCCCCGCTTCGCGAACAGTCGCCCAGTATTTTCCCGGTGCCAGCCCGTTGATCGTCAGATCTATCAGAGTCATGTTCGAGGACACCTGCACCATGCGTGCCAGTCCACGGATCTTATTCGGTACGGTCGTCGAGTGCGTCTCTAATATGCAGACGGCAGAACCTGTCGCGTATCACACCACCAGACCTCAGTATAGTCCTCGCGAGCCTGTTCCCTCAAGGGAGGTGTAACGTACTGTTTGATGTGCCGCTTCCACGTAGAATCGCATCCCGACCAGTAGTTTGGATTGCGGTAACTATCGAGCTAGGCGCTGCTGTGCCCTCGATGAAGACGAGCTGATCTTTAAGATTCGCCTCGACCTTCTTGACTCCTGAGTACGACGAACATGCATCAGTACATGCTTTTCAGCTAAATGTCTTGTCTCACTACACACGAACCTTCAACTTTATAAAGTGAGTTAGTTACATCCTTGACACAGCTTTCGCAGGTCATGGGAACCGCGAAGGTGGTCTGTCATCGAATCGAGTCAGTACTAATCGCACTGGCAATGTGCAACCACATCAGCCCAAAACAAAACGAACCTGGAACGGCTCAATCATTTCGTTATGGTGCTAAGAAAACTCCAGAGAATATGTCCTCGCATTTAAAGAAGATAGAAAAAAGAAATCAATAACCTTAGAAGCTGTATTTAAAGCAGAAGAACATACTCCGTACCCCTCCGCGAGTTAATAATCATGGCGGGACCAGGTGGGGGATTTGAAATCGGCGATGGAGTTCGGCCCTTCGATCACATTCCCCAAGTTTGTTATTCCGATAGCGTCACCATACCAGCCGGGCTGGCACCATCTCCTCTCCGAAGTCATCTCTCAACCCACAGCTAATTTAAACGCTACTCATTAACGACATAGCGCGAATCAATCAGCAAATTTACTGGTTTTGGATTTTCTCAATCCCTCATATACGGGCTATGTCCGCCCCGTCAAAATCGCGCTGGGCCGCCGAAGACCCCGAGGAAGAAGCCATCCACGCACAACGAAAACGCGAAAAGGAAGAGAAGAAACGCGCCAAGGCAGAGAAACAGCGTCAGCTGGAGGAGCAAGCACGACTCCGGACCGCACAAGCCACGCTGCAACAGCAAGGAGACGCGCTCAATGGCGACTCGGAACCTCCGCCCAAGAAGCGTCGCCGGCTGTCGAACGAGCAGCCCCAACCCTCGGCAGCGTCGGGGTCTGCAGCCAAAGCGCCAGCCGAGCAGACACAGTCGACACTCTTGCGTTTTCTGGGGCAGGAATGGGGACCCTGTCGACATGTGGATAACTTTGAACGGCTGAATCACATCGAGGAGGGTTCGTATGGGTGGGTGAGTAGGGCGAGGGATATCACGACCGGGGAGGTGGTGGCTCTCAAAAAGCTCAAGATGGAAAATTCGCCGGATGGGTTCCCCGTAACGGGATTACGGGAGATTCAGACGCTCTTGGAAGCTCGCCATACAAACATTGTGTATCTCCGCGAGGTTGTCATGGGGAATAAAATGGATGAGTATGCATGGCCCTTCCTACCCTCTACCCCCTGTCCGTCCTTCAATGTCCTCTTCCAGCGTTGGTGCTGCTTCCGTCCTGAAAAGTTCAAGATACACCAGTATTAACCGTTTCGGGGCTCTGGGCACCTCTATCCCGCCAACAGTGTATTCCTCGTCATGGATTTCCTCGAACATGATCTAAAAACCTTACTCGACGACATGCGCGAACCATTCCTACCTTCGGAAATCAAAACCCTCTTGCTGCAAGTCCTTTCCGGCCTCGACTTCCTCCACTCCCACTGGATCATGCACCGTGATCTGAAGACCTCAAATCTCCTGATGAACAACCGCGGCGAGATCAAAATCGCTGACTTCGGCATGGCACGGTACTACGGCGATCCACCGCCGAAGCTGACCCAGCTGGTTGTAACGCTCTGGTACCGTTCCCCAGAGCTCCTGCTGGGCGCAGAAAAGTACGGCCCGGAAATCGACATGTGGAGTATCGGATGCATATTTGGCGAATTGCTCACCAAAGAGCCCTTGCTGCAGGGTAAAAATGAAGTCGATCAAGTATCAAAGGTAAAACGTCTCCTCTTGGATTTTTCCGTTCGCGCTGACAGACAAACCAGATATTCGCTCTCACGGGCCCTCCTACCCAGCAAACGTGGCCTGGTTTCCGCTCCCTTCCTAACGCCAAATCACTTCGCCTTCCACCTACGTCCTTAACAGCGACGACTGAAGACCCTCCGTTACTCCCCCGCTCAAAGTTCCCCTTTCTCACCAATGCCGGTCTGCGGCTTCTGTCGTCTTTACTGGCGTTGAACCCAAGTTCGCGCCCTACTGCTCAGGAGTGTCTCTCACATAAATACTTCCGGGAGGATCCGCGTCCGAAGCCAAAGGAGATGTTTCCAACCTTCCCATCCAAGGCAGGCATGGAGAGGCGAAGGCGGCGTGAGACTCCAGAGGCGCCGAAGCGCGGTCAGGAAGCTCCCGCCTTGGACTTCGCCAGTGTATTTGGTGGTCAATCCAGTGGTGATACCGCGGAAACAGGCGCTGGCTTTACCTTACGTCTGGGTTAGCCTTTCATGCTACTAAGAGTGAGGTTTTTGGGAGATGAAATCAAGGCAAGGCCAGCCTTCGCGTCATGAGCGTACAGCTGAAGGAGACTGGTTTCTGATTTCCTATGAACAGAAACATCTTAGCGGTAGGCATCTATCAGAAAGAGGCTCTGCTACATCATTTGTACAAATGAGTGTCATTTCCAACCTGTGCTCATTCAAACCAGCGATCCTTACTGCAAACGCTTGAGACATAAGTATACAAGGCGCATTAACAATACAGAGAGAATAAAGAGGCGCAAATAACGCATTCCGCCGATCCCAGTTTCTTCCGTGGTGCAGTCGTGTAACTTACGTGTAACTCCGACATTATGGGAATTGACGTCGTTCCCAGATGGGGTAAGTAACAATACACTCATCAGTGGAATCGCTTGTGTCTCGTTCGAGACTCGGCAGGTTACCCCGACGCGAAGCGTACATACCATAGTATGATCTTCCTGGTCCGACAATCTCGGGGATCTCCTGCGTTCTGGCTGACATGTCACGATCGAGTCCCGGACCACTGTAAATTCTACCATCTCTCGCAATTCGTCCTCCTGTTTTTATAGGATTGTCTCCTCGATCGGGATGAATATCACTCGATTTGCCATCGACAAAGAAGAACTCGTCTCTTAAAATCAGCGAGGTGTTTGGATCATCGTTCTCAATCGGTGACCGGACGAAATCTGATTCTGACGTGCCATCTTCAGTCTGGCTTGGAGAGGGTGCTCTTTGAGCCGTGAACGGGTCCGAACTGTTTTGGATTCCAGGGAAATCAGTGTCGCTCAAAGCGGGCAGCAGGCAGCTAGCAGTATCCTCTTCCTGCGCGCTCGATCTCGCTTCTGATGGTTCCTATCATTTCGTCAGTGACGAGCGGGTAACGTTAAAAGTGATACTAACCATAATGGATGCACCAGCATGAGTTACCTGCATCTCTCTTGCATTCGAGGGTCTAGTTTGTAGAGGCTCCGTCTCGATTGGTACATTTCCATCCTCGACATGGTCGATGGGAGCATGGTGAATCGCCTGTGACATGAGATCATTTTCAGCAACATCGCTGCAACATAAGGTTTGACTGCCGCTGCTGCATTCTCTTGACGGAGGAAACAATTCAAGCGGTTCCATCATCAATTGAACGCTTGTTATCTGGGGAGCGGTTGATTCACGAGAGCTGACAGAGGATGACTTAGACGTGGAACGGCTCGAGACATATATACAAGCGATTGAGTCATTTGAACCAGAAGCGATTTGTGGTAGGGCAATCTCGTGGTCTCGAGATGATTCATTTAGCTCTCGCACATTTGGATCGAGCAACTCATCAGGACCCTCAACCGCAGTTGGCTTCCCGGGGTTGATAACCGGCGAATGGGATAGAATAGGGCTTGGATTTTGGGCCTGTGAGCATAAATCTTTCATACAGTCCTCATTCGGCTGCAAATCCACGGGGCTCTCTGGGGATGCTGCCTTGGATGTTTCTGATGACGCCATGTGTTCCGTCGTCGCTTCTATTCCGCTAAGCTCAATGAGGCTGACAGATGGCGAATTGGAAAGGGCATGAGTCGAGGTTTGAACCAATGTACAGGATTCGTCCGGAGTCTGATCGTGGAGCTCGGTCTCGGTGACGTGCTCTCGAGGGAACTCCACCGTCGTTGCTGGCTTCAACGCATCATCCGCCCCTGCTTCTGATGTACCATTCACTCTTCTCGTTTCCTGTGCGGTTGGGGAGCTCCCCAGCCCGGTGCCCTCTAAGCCACCACTGAGGGTACAACTCAGAGGTGATGTGGAAGGTACAGCGTTATGGATGTGGTCTTTCAGAATTTCACTTGAGGAGGAATGGTTGCGAGTTGTTCGATAGAGACCGGTGCCGAACTCACGATCGTCTTCTGTGCTAGCGTCCGACAATGACGACGGGAAAGGATCAGATGAGTCCTCTGTCGAGTCTCTCGAGGACCAGATGCTAGGTATATCACTTCTCCGAGAGGGGCCGCCTGGAATTGGTCGTCTTTGCATTCCAGACCGAAGTGCCAGAAGACCTGATCGCGCTTTGCGGAGGGACCTCCTTGGCAAATCCTGCATCCAGCTAACTGGATTCTGTGTTCTAGATGATTCGGATCGATAGTAATCACTTTGCAGCCACAAAGATGCGGAAGCTGCAGGATTGTGTCGAGGATCGCGTGGGTTGAAGACGGGATAGTGGGCTAGTTCCTCACAAGATGCAGGGGGGGTGGTTGCTGCGATTCTAGAATCACCTTGTCAATATGAACTTCTCTCGCCGTTATGAAATTGAGAAGTACCTATTTCTGTTCCTCAAGGGTGAGCGAAGAGCTACTGACGAAGACAACGTCTGTCGGCCGATGCTCAGGTCATCCGAAGTCATCTCGTTGGATATCAAACCATTCCCCTGATGATTGAGAGATTCGAGAGCGGCAGCGGTGCCTCAGCTCAGTATGCTTCTTTCATGCTAGACGAGAAAGAAGACTTGAGTGACTTCTTTATACGTTAGAGGAGTAGGTTGGTCGGGAGGGATACACGATGTCTGAAATGAATCCAACTAAGTGATAGAATGGGAAGAAAAAGAAGAATCACCAAACAGAACCTATAGCTTCAGTGGCAAATGCAGGGTATCAGCTAGTTGGAGATTTTGGCAATGTTGGACAGAAGAAAGAAGTCGCTGGGGCTGCAGCTTCCATATTCACTGCGACTGAAGTATACATTGCGCCTGTTAGAAGAGGGAAGTTGTGAGGTTAGATTCAGATTTGGCAAGAAAAAGTCAAGTACAAATTTTTGCATGCCTATAGGACTCCTTTAAATGTTTAGAATCTATTTGTGATAGGATTTGCCAATTGTCTATTAATATCCCGAGAGATTCAGGTGAATCATTGATGCCGCTGAAGCTGATGTACGGGATGCTTGGTACTCCGTACTTTGGTGTTGCTCTGCGCCGGCTAGCTGCACCCAGAAGCAATAAGCTCTGAAAATATCTTACACCTTGGTTATGGGCAATCTTTTTCATCCTTTTTACCTATCTTCAACAGCCTTTAGTTAAACTTAACCTTCGTCCGCTACTTGAAAGAAATATCTTCTATCCTGTCACATCTCTTTTCGCGCCACCTTGTCCGTTTGTTACGTCCTGTTCCAAGCGCGCCGTTCTCGTCATGGCCGTCAGCCAAGGAGCTGTCTCCTTCGATGCCATCATCCAAGCGGGTAAGCCGTCGAATACGTCTCAAAATCCTTATCGAAATTGCCTTCCTAATTGCATCCCGGGCTTCTAGATCGCAAAAAGAGAAAAAATGAAGAACTTGCAAGCAAAATCCTCGGTAAAAACAGAACGACAGTCGCCGCAGGCGCGGGAGCTGGGAGCAAGTCTCAGAAAGCGAAGTCAGGAAGTCTCGCCAGTCGAATCGGTGTCATAAAGGTACTATGGAATTCCACGACTTCATACACTATTTAGCGCAGGGACTAGACTAATATTGGATTACTGTACTGTCAGCCTTCCGCATCAGCTACATCGAAAACTACGAAGAATCATCGCACACAGTCAGCGCCGGTACGAGCAGCGAACTCACAACTAAAACGCGCCAGCAAACGTCGGCCAGATGAGGAGCGCCTCCTTTCAGCTCTCAATCCAGCGAGTGGACAATCAACAGTGCGCGACAATCCTGTTGGTATGACTATTCGAGGAGCAGGGTCAGGCTCTTTCATCGTGATTGGGAGCAATTTCGCTCCAGGCACCACAGCAGCAGACATCCAATCCGCTCTAGAACCTGCATCGGGGCAGATATTGAACTGTTGGATCACCTCGCAGCATCCTACTGTCACGGCCGAGATCACATTCGCCGAGAAATGGTCGGCAGAAAACGCCATTGCCAACTTCCACAACCAAAGGGTGATACTCCCAACCGAACGTTGCAATCCCTTTTCATTGACTGACAAACACAAAGGCTGACGGCAGAATTTTGTCCATGCGGTTCAAGCACTCCACGGCCGAACCGACACCTTCTCCGCAAGCACAGAAACCCCAGTCCTCATTCAACAATCTACGAGAGCAAGCGGATCGCGAGCGCCGCCTGAACCGGAAAGCAGAACCAGCCGTGCAAGATGGAAGGTACGGTTTCGCTGAAGGAAATAACCAATTGCGTTCTCAGGACGATTCTCGAGGCAATGGCCGTTACAACAGGCGCAATGCGAGAGGCAACCGAACATACGGACGAGCTGGCAATCAATCAAACCAGAATACCCAAGAGTCTGGACTTTATAGCGATCAAATGATGGTCGACGCACCCACACGGGACTTCGGTCATAGGGGTGGACGGCACCGGTAGACTACCGCTTTGTACTCGAAATCCGGGCCATGCTATTACCAAATCTTTCAATTTCTTCGAGGGGTACTTATGTCATCTGTCCGCGACAGCCCAGTGCTGAGTACAGCAGGATTCCTCGTCTCAGAAAATCAGCCTTTCGGGTGCACGCTCTGGGAGCAATGTATTTCTGTCGATTCTCACGATAGGAGGGTAATAACTGTAAATTAATGGACAATTGATAAGATAACATCACGTGTTCCGAAACTTTACTGCGGAGAAATTGGAGATATGAACATCGGAGGACGTGGGAATAGCTACATAGCCCACCTGGAGCAGTCTATCTCACAAGTCACATCCTTCTTAAATACATCTGATCACAATCGAACTTCTTCGGATGCATACGGGCCATTGACCTTGTCGGATTGAAAGGCCGCTCCCAACCGCACTTGCTCGAGAAGAGCACCGCACCAGCTAAGATGAATAGTGCGACGAAGCGTGCTTTGACCCGACATGTTCGAACATATCAGTGTCGAAATCTACGGATAGGGTCGCATCGATGCTCCTCAACATTTGATCAGAGACAGTGGTCCACGCCACTCGCGAAAACTCTAGCGAATGCGATCAAGGTATCTGGACATTCTCTTGCGGCGAACTCTTGGACTGTAGCTGACAAGTAGCTTGACTTTAGGTCACAGGGCCGGTTCCAATTGCGGCATTCATGCGCCAAGTTCTCACATCTCCAGAGGGGGGCTATTACACGACTCGACCGGAGGGCGGCGGCGAAGTCTTCGGAAAGAAGGGAGATTTCGTAACCTCGCCTGAAATCTCACAAGTGTTCGGGGAGTTGGTGGGTATATGGACGATCACAGAATGGATGGCGCAAGAGCGGAAACGCAGCGGGGTGCAGCTCATCGAGGTTGGACCAGGGAAGGGCACATTGATGGACGACATGTTACGCGTGAGTTATTTCATCCTCGGCAGTCGGATTGGGGTGTCTCGTGCTGATAGAGCTTCACGGCTAGACATTCAGAAACTTCAAGAGCTTTGCGTCGAGTCTCGAGGCTATCTATCTGGTTGAAGCTAGCCCGACGTTGAGAGAGGTCCAGAAACAGCGACTTTGCGGTGATGCGGCTATGGAGGAGACAGATATTGGTCACAGGAGCACCAGCAAGTATTTCAATGTTCCGGTGATATGGGTAGAGGATATTCGATTACTGCCTCATGGTGAGACCTGCATTGAGCTTCCAGAAGGTTGAAGGGCCAGCTACTGAGACAGTTGTCCAGAGGAAGAGAAAACGCCATTCATCTTTGCGCACGAATTCTTCGACGCACTTCCAATCCACGCTTTCGAGTCCATACCCCCAGCACCTGAAAATCAGTCCGAGCAGAACGAGATCATGACTCCTACCGGCCCTGCGAAGCTGCACCAACCCATGAAAACCGCCAATACCCCCCAGTGGCGCGAGATCATGGTTACATTGAATCCCAAAGCAGTCGAAGAGAATCAAGAAGGCGAGCCCGAATTCAAGCTGACATTAGCCAAGGCGTCGACACCGTCTTCTCTCGTGATCCCGGAGATTTCAGAGCGCTACCGAAAGCTCAAGTCTAAGCCAGGTTCTACGATCGAAGTCAGTCCGGAAAGCCGCATATATGCGTCCGACTTTGCTCGTCGCATAGGGGGTTCGTCACAACCCCCTCGAACCGTAGGCTCGCGGAATGCGCCCGCCGCGCAGCCGAAGCGGGTACCGTCTGGAGCAGCACTGATCATGGATTATGGAACGATGTCGACTATCCCTATCAATTCGCTCCGCGGGATCCAGCATCATCGGACTGTGCCCGCACTCTCGTCGCCGGGCCAAGTCGATGTGAGTGCTGATGTTGATTTCATGGCGCTTGCGGAGGCGGCCATTGAAGCTAGTGAGGGTGTCGAGGTTCACGGACCGGTAGAGCAGGGAGATTTCCTGCAGGTCATGGGCATCGTGGAGCGGATGCAGCAACTGCTCAAGGGAGTCAAGGATGAAGAGAAGCGCAAGACTCTCGAAAGTGGCTGGAAGAGGTTGATCGAGAGGGGTGGGGGCGGCATGGGAAAGATCTACAAGTTCATGGCCATCATTCCGGAGAACGGTGGGAGAAGGAGACCCGTTGGATTCGGTGGGACTGTTCAGATGTAACATTTGCAGTAATACCTGCGATATCTTCTGGATGCGTTTCAAGACAGCTGTACGATGGATGTATATATCATGCAATAGAAGCGCTATCTACAAGTTCTTAGCGTTCATAGACAAGTCGTTAGAAGGCGCTATAATCATTGCGCCACAGCATTTTACAGCATTAGAACCCGCCATTTCCTGAAACACCAGTCCAGCGTGGAACTGGATCTGAGGCTCACCGGCAGAGACGTATACCCTCTATCCGGTCCCGTAAACCGGACCCGAGTCCCACTTGCGAGGCTTGCAAAGTCGATGGAAAGCGCTCTATAAATCGCAATGGATCACTGTTTCAATACTCCCTCCATATATCCTCGACGAACGCCTCTGTCAGCCGCGTGTCTTTACCATACTTCTCCTGCCACTGGACAAAACCGCCCTCGAGGACATAGACCTGTTGCTTCTTGCTCTCTTCGGGACCCAATAATGCCTCTCGCTGTCGTGCGTAGCGGAGAGCGGCAGATGGGCCGCGCTGTTGACTGAGAGCACAGTGGAATACAACCTTCTCTTTGTCTTTGAACGTTCGGACAAGTTCCGGCATGCGATAGTCGAGTGTTGAGCTTGGAACCCAGGTGGAGGAGTAAATATGCCCGCCGATGTGGTCTGCAAGAAAGTAAAAATCAATTAGAAAAGAGCGGAAAGATGGATAGTTGGTTTCGCGTCATACCCGAATCTCTTACGTCGATAATGGCAAGCTTGTTTGGAGAACTGGTAGAGAGAAGAAGCTCGGAGAGAATATCCCGAGTCATGCGGGGAAGGGTTGCTATTGTGATTGAGGACATGTCTGGTTTATGGCAGTCGGAATACTGCAGGCCGAACCGTTGATGCTGCGAGCTGCCCCAGGTCTAAATGCCTTCTAGAGAAAACAAAATCTAGCTTGTTAGTTGATGTTGTCGGATCATGAATCGTTTCGGCTGCGGAGCATCTATAGAAATGGCCAAGTCACGTGCGTGCAGATTTCCGTCTTGAGAATGTCCGCAAGATTTCCAGCGAGATACAAGTTCACGCCGAGCACTGATCTTTCTCAAGAACCAACCAACCTCTCCATTTGACATTAGCTCATCGACTCACCTCCTCTGGATACCTGTATCACCAATCTCTTCTTATCGTAAAGATGGAGGCACGATCCGTGGCTCGATGCCTCCGTTTGAGGCCGACATCTTCGCTATACACCACGCAGCCCATCATCGTCCGCGGACAGAACGCCCTCCGATACTTCTCAACATCCAATTCCCTCTTCCAAAGATCTCCCGCTAGCCAGAAACAACCGAAACCTACGACCCGCGCCCCGGCCCAGGATCAACCCAAGGTCCAAACCAGCAGCACACCATCCGACTCCTCCGACTTCGACCGGATCCTCAACCAACTCAACTTCAACAATAGCAACCGCGATGCGACGGAAGGCACCCAGCCCACCCGGCGGCCCCTCGCCGACCCCCTTTCTCTCTCGCGCGCGGTCAGCATGTCCACCGAGCCAGACAGCTACAGACAGCCGCTCCGCCGGGTGGAGCTGAAATTGGGGCCTACACTGGGTCGCCAGGTGCACGTGGAGCCGGAGAAGGGGGTGGATCTGACGTCTGCACTGCGCGTGCTGCAGGGGAACATCTCGACGAATAAGGTGCGGGCGCAGTGGCATGCGCAGAAGTTCCATGTGCGGAGGGGCCAGATGCAGAAGAACTTGAGGATGGAGCGGTGGCGGAAGCTGTTCAAGTTCTCGTTCAAGGAGACTGTGAACAAGATCCAGCGTATGAGGGCGCAGGGCTGGTAAGATGTGTTGAGTGATGGTCTTTTCGATGGTCGACTTGGAGGGCTGGTGTACATACGGAGACGGTATGGATCAGATTCAGGGACTCGATCTGGATGAGGGAGAGTAAGTGGACTCTGCGAGCGAGAGAAAGGGCTCGCGGAAAAGGTCTTTCCTATCATGTATAACTACGTTCTAAATGTTTTTCGATTTGGTATCTGTCCAGAAAACAACGGGTCCGGTTGATTGGAATCTAAGAAGTTCATTTTTCGTCAGAATTAGATATAGACATGAGATATACAGTCATCCGCATATAGTCGTAGACAACACCATCAGTCCTTCTTCCCATACCCCCCATATCCATAACCCCCACCACCAGCAGCGACCACAGAGGGATTGCTCGCAGGCGAATAGCCCCCATACCCATTTGTCTTACCACCATTGCCGTACGCGATCCCAACGGACCCTTTCCCACGAGGAGCAGAGGCCCCCAAAATCCCATCTCCGCGCCATCCAGCCCGTCGGCGTGCCCCGTTCCGCTCCCAGTACAACGCAACAACCGCCCCGACACCCGCAGCCAGCACGAAGAAGAACAGCCTGGAAAAGAACGACGCCACGCCAGACGATCCGTCCCCGGTATCCGGGCCGCCAGCAGGCCACCAGATCCCCTTCCCGCCTTCAACCCAGCTCACATGGAACGTGAACGTGAGCGGCTCGCCGCGAATGACCTTCGTGCCGTGCCCGGCCGTCCAGGGGTCGCGCGCCGCCTCGGAAACAGCAACAGCCGCGTCGTCATCGCCAGCGTCTTTCTCGTTCGGAACAGGGCCGTCGAACTCGGGAATCGAGTACGCGGTACCGGCCACGACGTACCCCGGCTTCGCATGCTTGCTCTTCCGATTACTTTTCTTGGTCTTGCTCGCCGAGGCGATACTGTGCACGAGGACGTTCATGTCTGTCCAGATGTGCAGGTGGCTGCGCTGCAGGGTGCCTTGCAGAGCGAAGGTAAGGGGTGTGTATGCCGGTCCGCCATTGTCGAGGGGAGAGAGGTCGGTGGTTTCGCCGTTCTTGGTATCTGGGGATGGGCCCGCTTGCGCGGATGGGGCGAGGGGTGCTGTGGGCACGCGACAGGCTAGTGGTACGTCCGAGTGGACGTAATATTCTAGGAGGTGGTAGAGCTCGTCGGGGAGCGAGCTGATGGTGCAATTGATAGTCTCTGTCACGCCGTAGCGGAGTGCAAGCGGGAGGAAGGTCTCGTTGCAGGTTGGGAAGGGAATGTATTGCAGCTTGCCGAGATTGTCCGTGATCTATGCAGGAAGAGAGTTGTTAGCCAGAGAGTATACTGAAAGACCATGTCGTAGAGACAGAGATCTCAGCATCGGCAGGCCCAGCAAATATTGAAGCAGCAAGGAGACAGCGGAAAGGGGCGAGGCATTACATGTTCTCCAGAGTCACTAACAGGCGGTTAGTATTTTATTCTCAACGTGATTGAATCTCCTTGGTCACTATCTGACATGACTCACATTGTCCGGTTCAAACAGGTCACTGGCATAGGCTGTCCATAGCTGTACCCAACCCTGCCACTGGCGACATCACTCTTCCCCGCAGCCGCGACCTGCGACAAAACAACGATCATCAATGCATAATACCATGGTAAGAATGGTATATAAGGCAATCGCCTCTGCGAAAAAAACATGTTAGAGGATTTGTTGACCGCCAAAGAGGCGGATTGAGCTTCCTTTGTGGAATGATATTCGGAGTTTGCCAGAGTGGACACTGAACATGTGGCTGCCGCGGGATCAACACGAGTCTCGTCCAAGTCCAACGCCGAAACGATCTCCCACGGTCAATTGCAAACCTAATTCCAACGCCCATAGTTAATAAATAGACTTAAGATATTCGTTTGGGTTCGTATTCGCTCTCACAGATAGCTACAAACTTATTTGATCTCCAAACGTCTGGTTCTAGTATTACAAGTCGATCTACGCCCAAGAGGATTGAGAATTGTCCTACAGAGAGGTCACTATCTTGAATTGATGTCTTTCATTTCAATTGTGTGCTATGGAAGAGAAAAAGTGATCACTCATGCCTCGTGAAGAATTACATTTTTATAGTTTGGTTTGACTTAACCAGCCGATGTTGACAGCAAGATTTAAGCCAGGTTGGCCTTCTTCTTGAAGGCCAGCAGCAAGCCGCTGGTGGAAGCGTCGTGGTCACCACCTGCTCCTGGTGTCTCCAGCTCCTTCTGAATCTTCTTGGCAAGGACCTTGCCCAATTCAACACCCCACTGGTCGAAGGAGTTGATGTTCCACACAGCACCCTCGGTGAAGGTGAGGTGCTCATAGTAAGCAATCAGGGCACCGAGCGTGGAGGGAGTGATCTTCTGGGCGAGGATGGAGGTTGTTGGGCGGTTACCCAGGAATGTCTTGTGAGGCACCAGGTTGTCGGGGGCGCCTTCGGTCTTGACCTGCTCGGGGGTCTTTCCGACCATCAAGGCCTCGGACTGAGCTAGGAAGTTGGAGGCCAGCATGCGCTGGTGCTTGCCCTCCTCGACGGGGTTGTGCGACTCAGCAGCCATGATGAAATCCGAAGGAATAAGCTTGGTACCCTGGTGCAGCAGCTGGAAAAAGCTGTGCTGGGCGTTGGTGGCGGGCTCACCAAACAGGATGGGGCCGGTAGTATACTTGACGTATTCTCCGGAGCGGGTGATAGCCTTGCCGTTGCTCTCCATGGAAAGCTGCTGCAGGTAGGCGGGGAAGCGGTGCAGGTACTGGTCGAAAGGTGCCACGAGGTGGGTCTGGGCGCCGAAGAAGTCGCTGTACCAGACACTCAGCAGACCACCGAGAACAGGAATGTTCTGCTCGAGGGGAGTCTCGCGGAAGTGCTTATCCATGGCGTGAGCACCAGCCAGGAATTGGTGGAAGTTGTCGAAGCCGATGTAGAGGGCAACAGACAGGCCAATGGCGCTCCACACGGAGTAGCGACCACCGACCCAGGACTCGAAACCGAACATGTTCTTCTTGTCAATGCCAAACTTGGTCACCTCCTCCTCGTTGGTGGAGAGAGCGACGAAATGCTTAGCGATATGGGCTTCATCCTTGGCAGTTTCAAGGAACCACTTCTTCGCGGAGTTTGCGTTGGTGGTGGTCTCTGCAGTGGTGAATGTCTTGGAAGCAATCAGGAAAAGAGTGGTCTCGGGGTCGGAGTGCTTGAGAGCTTCGGCAATGTGGGTTCCGTCAATGTTGGAGACGAAATGAAGGGTCATGTCGTCGGCGCCATAAGGCTTGAGCGCCTCCGTCACCATGACAGGGCCGCTGATGGGTGTGTTAGCAATCGCTCAGCCAATGAGGTGCTCCTTGGGATCGAAGCAGCGCAAACAAGCAAAGGGTAAGTAGCAAACTTACAGATCGGAACCACCGATACCGATGTTGATGATTGTCTGGATCTTCTTGCCCGTGTAACCCTTCCATTCACCGCTTCTGACCTGCTCAGAGAACTCCTTCATGTGCTCAAGCACGGAGTTGACCTCCTCAACGACGCTCTTGCCGTTGACCTGCATGGGCTGGTTGGTGACATTGCGCAGAGCAACGTGGTAGACCGCACGGTTCTCTGTGAAGTTGATGGGCTCGCCCTTGAACATAGCATCGCGGAGTTCCTCAACGCCGGCCTCCCTGGCGAGCTTCACCAGAAGGGCAAGAGTCTCCTCGGTGAGGAAGTTCTTGGAAAAGTCGAAGAGGATCTCGGTGTTGTCAACCGTGTTGGCGAAGGTACGGCTGAACTTCTGGAAGCGCTGAGGGTCCTTCTCAAAGTATTCCTTGAGGACAATGTTGCGTCCGAGGGAGTTGTGGTGCTCCTGGAGCTCCTTCCAGGCACCGAGTTCTGTAGCCTGCGAGAAACCAGGCATTGTGACTGCTGTGTATGTGTAGGTTGAGTTGATCTGTAGGAGAGCTCTTGCGTCAGTGCGGGGCAGGAGGAAGAGGAAATACAGTAGATTCAGGAGTCGTGCAAATGTAAATTCCGTACCTGAAAGAGGAGAGAGATGAGTGATGGATTTCAGACTCTGACAGACAGAAGAGATAGAGATGTATGAAGGAGAGAAAGCAAGCTGAAGAAATTGTAGAAACGGGAAGCGCGGAGGGTGATGATGAAGACCGGAAAAACAGCTGGCCTGCTAGCTAGGAAGCTACGGTACTACTATGGAGTATGTCGTCAATCGGCCTGTTGGGGTCCGTCTGGAGGGGCTGACGTGGGGCAGACAAAGAGAGACCAGCGCTGAATTTATCCGACTACTGACCTGATAATAATCTGGAAGATTATCTATCTTTGAGTAATAAAGTCAATCATATTCCCTGATGTTTACTAAACTATTTTTCATGAGGGTCTGAAATCTGAATGTTGTCGAGTCTCCTATGATCATGATCATCTGAGCACCACCAAGGTGGAACTACAACTCCGGAGTAGCCACATTGCAAGGACTCTGGATTCTTGGTAATCTAGTGCATTCTAGACTGGGAGGATATGATAATAGAAGATGTTGAAAAAGTCTAGCCAGGTGACTTGAAGACTCTGGTGCTCCTCGGAAAATATGATTCTGATGGACGACTGTACTCCGGCATCAGAAGGCTATTTCTCGATACTCCAAGGCCAAGGAGCCTCCGTGTCCCGGACGCTGTATATGGCCATCGGTGAGTCTAATGAGGACATTTCCTAGAGTCCTGTACATAGAGTCTACCATGTCCTTACCTAGCATCTTGATGATTCCTGCGGATTCCCTTCTGGTCGGTTAAATAGGTAGAGGAGTACGGTGGTAGTCTCGTAGAGACAGTTTAAAACGGTAACCATGTCCATGACGACAATTGCACTCTGCTTCTGTATTATTACCGATTCAATTCGACATCGCTGATCATTCTTTGACAGAAGTTGATACTGATCCGTTGATCTCCAGTCTATCTGCATGGCTGCGCTCCTGCTTCTGAGCTCGCAGTTCATATATAAATACTGGGAAGCTTCTGCTTGGCTACACCCATGGAATCCGGGATGACACCTTCTTCTGTGGAGATCAGAGTATGTCAACTCAATAGATATAGTACATGTGTGACAGAGCTTAACAGTATATATCAAATTATAGAATAATCCTAGAGAGTGCAAGCTGTAGTCACTACTAGATGGTCGACAACAACAGATGGACTTCACAAAAAAGGCCGAAGACCCAAAAAGGAAACGCACGGACCAGACCGCCTTCACGACCGACTTTATCGCAAGTTTCTCCAATCTGACTCCGACACTGAAGCAGCACTTGATCTACTCCTCAGACCTGATTTCACTTCTACCAACTGCTGCAGGTGGCTCTCCTTACTTACCTCTCTCTCTCTTCAATCAAGTGTCTTTCCTCCTCATCAAGAAGCATCGCTAGTTCTACCAGCATTCGATATTTTCCACAGTTTCCCTGTCTGTCGCTATCGTAGCGGCGAATCCGGCCGTGATGTACAACCCTTACCAAGGTATGACCACTAGGCGCAGTTTCTGAAGTCTTTGATTCCTCAATGTGCAAGGTGCTAACTCACTCTTGTAGCTACAGGTCTGTATGGCAGGCCTCCAGACTACGGAGCTTATGGAGCACCTCCAGGCATGGGTCAGTATCAACTGTCTCTTTCATCGCGTCTCTTTCTATCTCTTTCAATGTACTAATATACCCTAGCTCCTCCTCCTGGAATGACAGCTCCGGGAACCGCTCCTCCCCCGGGAATGCAGCAGGCAAACATCCCGCAGCCCGGTCGACCTGCGGGCTTCCCTCCTAACTTCCAACCTCCCCCGAATATGCCCAACATCAACTTCTCCGCACCTGTGATTCGACTTGGAACGTCCGGCCCTTCGAAGTCAGCTACTCCAGACACGAGCAAGGAACGTGGTGGCGAGGCTCCGGGAAGACGTGCGGGCTTGGGTTCAACGAGTCTTGAGTCGCAACGCCAGAATGTACGAGATGCGATGATGCAGCTGCAGCCTCCGACGAGGGAAGAGATCGTAAGGACCATCTTTGTTGGGGGTATTACCGAGGGCGCTGGCGGCGACGAGGGCATCGAGAAGATTTTGCGGTCCGCTGGGAACCTCAGGCGTTGGATCCGCGCTACGGATGCCGATGACAAGCCATGCAAGTTTGGCTTCGCAGAGTACGACGACCCTGAAAGTCTCGGTACTGCTGTAGAAATACTAAAGGACGTGGAAGTGCCGGTCAAGAGACAAACGCCATCCGAGGAGGGTGACAAGGAGGAGCGCGAGGTGGAAAAGAGTACACTACTGGTTCGTATACCGCCTACAGGTTCATTTACACATCTAACCATGTTGCGATTAGGTGGTCATTGACGATGGTTCCCTGAGCTATCTGGAACAGTACGAAAACACCAGAGGCGAACAGGACCCGGCCGAGCGTCAGGCGCGGCTCGATGCTGCGCGCAGCACACTCGCCAACGTTCTGTCCGAGCTTTTCCATCCCACGTCGCCAACCCGGAAGGAAGACTCCTCCGCCATTGATCGTGAAGGAGACTCTGCGATGAGGGATGCTGAAGGCGCCGATGGCACCTCAGCTGAGGTTGTCACCATTCCAATCACGGTTGAAGACGAACTGTCCGACATTCCTCCTGAAATGAGGGAGACAGTTGCCAAGGAGATTGCAGCTTTCCGAGAGCGCAGCAACCGCAGGGATATTGAACGCTTGAAGCGAGAGGAAGAGATTGAATCCATGGAGCGCGCACGAAATGCAGGCTCGCGCCTTAATCGCCTGGCTTCTCCCCCACCTACCGCTCCTAGTGGACCTGCTGCCGGGGCCAATGGTGTGCCCCTTGGTCCGCGGGACCGGGGCATGCCAAATGCACCTTCGGGACCTAAGGGATTCGGCGTACAGATCCCCAAGGATTACCAGAAAGGAGTGTCGTTTGTCAACGGAGGCGCAATCAATGGCGCGACTACGGTATACATCAATAGGGAAGACGAGGATACTGATGCAAGCGACGAAGAGCTAGAACGCCGACGTCAAGAAAAGAGAGAGGCTGAGCACGAGAAGCAGTTTCTTGACCAGGAACGGCGATGGCTCAATCGCGAGCGGAGCAGGACCGCAGCTCTGGAGCGTGAGAAGAAGCGGGATAAGGAGGAAGAGGCCAAGGCGCAAGAAGTGCGCGACGAGGCTGATCGGCGGTATCGGGAATGGAACGATGACATTGAAGCCAGTCGCAAGGTCGAGGACTATTATGCGGATCGGGGCGCATGGCTTCGGAGCCGTGCTGCCTTCCGTGCTCGCGAGATCAGCAACGATGAGGCTGGCCGTGCGGCCGAAGAACGAGAGCGCGCTCGGTCTGCGCAGCAACGCGAGCAGGCACGTGGCATGGCGGACGACTTCCTCGCGCGCCAGGCTGAGGAGCTGGAGGCACGTACCCAGGCGCCCAGGGAGCCGCAGCGCTTCAAGCTTTCTCTTGGCGCTGCAGCCCAGAAGGCTCAAGCCGCCACCAGCCGCCGGACCGTGGCCGAAGTGGAAGGACTGCTGGAGGACGAAGAAGAGCCCCAGGCGACTGCAAGACGACCCCTCATCCCCATCAAGTTCGACAGTGCTGCCGAAGCCGCCGGCCTCTCCGACGAGGAGCGGGCGCAAGCCGCTCGACAGCTGGCGGCCGAAATCCCCGCCGACAAAGAAGGACTATGGAAGTGGGATGTCAAGTGGGAGTTTGTGGATGAGTCTGTCCTCAGAGAACAGCTCAAGCCTTTTGTCGAGAAGAAGATCGTGGAGTACCTCGGAGTGCAGGAGCAGATGTTGGTGGACGTGGTGGAAGAGCATGTCCGGAAACATGGACATCCTCAGGAGCTTGTAGAACAGCTGGAGGAGGTGAGTATTTTCGTTTCCATTCGCATTATTCCCGGGTCGAATTATGATTCCACAGCAGAAGCTAACGATTGTCTACAGGCACTCGACGAGGAGGCGGAAGTACTGGTCCGAAAGTTGTGGCGAATGATTATTTTCTTCTCGGAAAGCGAGAAGAGAGGGCTTTCCGGATGATAGGTACTTCGATAGGGCTAGCAGTATTGGGCTGATAGGGAGCTTCTAATTTGATATCCACCTCGACCTGGGGTACAGTCCTTTCTAGATAATTGTTTAGGAACACCTGATCGCGCTTACTGCCTATCTCTTCATCTATCTTCGAGACTCAGTCAAGTTGAGCCTGGTGGGAGGTATCTGGATGCTCTCACGCCTGTAGCCACCCCGCTAGTACTCCAACGTCGCATTGAAAAAGCTACACCAATGGCATTCTCACCCATCTTTCATCTGAGTGATACCATAGTTCAATCCTAATCCTCCAGATGATCAACAATGAAACCGCAGAGATTGAATGGACTCGTGACCCCCTTCTAGTGGACTTCTCATCAAATGTACCTACTACATGCTGTATTCAGGAACCGTTTCATGGTTCCATACACATAAAATACCATACGCGGAGGCGGCCCGACTGTCATGGGCAATTATCTCATTGGTGGATAAACACTGACCAAAGCTTAGGACAATTCCTCCGCCAATGGCACTGCAGTCCCACGCACCCCGGAACAATCAGAGGCAGCAGACAGTGTAATTGTTCCGCAGTGTAGGTCTGGATTGCTTGATTTAGCCTGAGGGGTGAGGGCCGTATATCTGGCGTGCTGCCCCCATGTTTTGGAGGGGTCATGAACAATCTTTTCTCTCGCTTTGCTCTCCTGTTCTGCAGTTGGGTTTTGGTTCCTTGAGTGTATTGACATCGTGATCGAGTCTACCTACACTGTTGTCTCCCCGCATTTCTCAGAGGTCAGTTTTGTCGCGGCGTCTTTTGCTCAATTGCCATGTGCCCGATGAGGGTGAAGTCCCTGGTTGATTTGGGATTGACGTTGAACCTGGTCTAGACGATTTTTCCAACACAAGGGTTGAGCAGACGTCATGGTTAAGATCACTGGCTTCACCACCCGGGATGTGAGGTTTCCCGTAAGTTGCGCCGCCCTAGATGGACATATCCCAGGTCAGCTGGCTAAGAAAGAGTGAAATAGACCTCCCTCGACAAGACTGGCTCTGATGCCATGAACGCTGCGGGTGATTACTCGGCGGCTTACTGTATCATCAACACAGACTCCTCCTATGCTGGTCATGGCATGGTACGCATCAAGCCCGTTCTCTATCCTAGGACCTAGGAGGACAGAAAGGGACTAATTGCCATTGGCTACAGACCTTCACCATTGGCCGTGGAAACGAGATCGTCTGCGCCGCCATCACCCTTCTGGCCCCCCTGGTGGTCGGCAAGGACCTGGACGAGCTGACCGCCGACTGGGGCAAGACATGGCGCTACCTGGTATCCGACAGCCAGCTGCGCTGGATCGGACCGGAGAAGGGCGTCATCCACCTTGCGCTGGGCGCCGTGGTCAACGCTCTCTGGGACCTGTGGGCCAAGACCCTCAACAAGCCCGTCTGGCGCATCGTCGCGGACATGACTCCCGAGGAGTTCGTCCGCTGCATTGACTTCCGCTACATCACAGATGCCATCACCCCGGAGGAGGCCATTGCTCTCCTCAAGGAGGTCGAGCCCACCAAGCAGGAGCGTATCAAGGAGGCTGAGAAGAGCCAGGCCGTGCCGGCCTACACCACCAGTGCCGGGTGGCTCGGCTACAGCGAGGATAAGCTGCGCGCGTTGCTGAAGGAGAGTGTTGCGCAGGGCTACAAGCACTTCAAGCTCAAGGTCGGCGCCAACGTGGAGGAGGACCGTCGCAGATTGGCCATCGCTCGTGAGGCCATCGGTTACGACCGGGGTAACATCCTGATGGTGGATGCCAACCAGGTACGACCCCCGACATCCTCTTCCTCCCCCTAGCGAACTAACACCTTCCGTGCCTTCAGGTCTGGTCCGTCCCCGAAGCCATCGAATGGATGCACCAGCTCGCCGAGTTCAAGCCCTGGTTCATCGAAGAGCCCACCTCCCCCGACGACATCCTCGGCCACGCCGCCATCAAGAAGGCCCTCGAGAACACCCCGCACGGCACCATCGGCGTCGCCACCGGCGAGATGTGCCAGAACCGCGTCGTCTTCAAGCAGCTCCTGCAGGCGGGAGCTCTGACCGTCCTCCAGGCCGACGCCTGCCGTGTCGGCGGGGTCAACGAGGTCCTGGCCATCCTGCTGCTGGCCCGCAAGTTCGGCGTCCCCATCGTCCCGCACTCCGGGGGCGTCGGTCTGCCCGAGTACACCCAGCACCTGAGCACCATCGACTATGTCGTCGTCAGCGGCAAGAAGAGCGTGCTGGAGTATGTGGACCACCTGCACGAGCACTTCGTGCACCCCTCTAGCGTCAAGGATGGATACTATGTCACTCCCATGGAGCCTGGATACAGTGTGGAGATGAAGCCCGAGAGCATGGAGGAATTTGCTTTCCCCGGTGAGGAGGGCAAGAGTTGGTGGCGCACAGAGGCTGCCAAGACTATCTTGGAGGGTCCTCGGATATAAGCTACTCAAAAGGAAAAATGTTATAGATTTTTATGCGTTACGAGAGATAATGTGTTGTTGTTTGAACGTGAATATGATATGCTTTTAATGCATTCTTCCAGAATTCCCAGTTCTTTCATATGTTGACCCGTAAATCGAGCACTGGTCTCATCACGAAGAACCGAGGGCAAGAGACAACCAGACTGCCCTTCCCACGCGTCATATATATATAATACAAGTTTTATACATGACCGAATGTTTGGTCTTTAAGCTGGTGCTCACTGTGAGCACTGACCGTGAGTCTAATCCGACCTTGGTTCAAGAGAAAACCAACCCGATTCGAGAGGAACAGACCTCATGAGCCTAGCAGATAGCTAGTAACGTCCAATTTATGACGGCTCCGGCTGGTCTCAGGCTCCTATGTTTGCCCGTATATGGGGTCACGAGGACATTCGTTGGTCGATCAGACACATGCTGACCGAAAGGACACAACTTCACAGGGGAACGAACGCCATGAGCAGCTATCGCCACTGAATGCCAAAGATCTTCAACGCCTTGGCAACTCCCGGCTTTTCTTGGGCTTGCTCTAAGATGACACGCGAATGCCCTTGGGGGGAAGTCAGCACGGGGAAGGTCTTGGAAACGGAACGGGACGACCAACCTTTGACATCCAACGCGAGAAGCAGATACTCCCATTCACCCTTGTCCAAGGGTTTCATCATATGCACAATCACGATCCCGGAGTTGAGTGGTCCTTCAACCTATATAGAGTCAGTATTTCTCTGAGAGTACTGAAATCGAGCCAATGTACGTGAAAATGCATCTTCATGTGCTCGCGACCCTGCCGATCCTTAAAGGTTGAAGTCCTGGTCCATTATCATCAGTTTCCGGGCAGAAAAGAGAACAACAGCGACGGTTCTAACGCAATAGGTCTATTCCGCTCCCATCGGCTCCCGGTACTCTCTCCATACGCCTTGATCTCTCTTCGATCGCCTAGTAGATCCGTGCACCGCGTATCGTCCTTGATGCGTTCGACAGCCTTCTCGAACTGCCATGTCCTGCTGTTCGGCGACAAGACCTCTGTATAGAGCAGGTAGAAAACCCCGCCCTGACTGCTGTCAGACCAATTGGCCACCACCAGAGATTCCCCATGAGCGAGGGGTCAAGGCCGAAGGTCATCTCACCGTCAAAACCGCCCCGGCTACTATGACAAGAAAGTTGATCGACTGCTGCGTCGCCCGCGCGACCTTTTCCCTTCCACTCAACTCCCCCCACTCATATCGCCCATCATCGGATAGAACCGTCACGTTTCTCCGTCTTGGGGTTGCCTTCGGACTAGAACCTCCACCGAGATCGCTATGTGTTGCGTAGAACCGTGTCAAAGTCGTCATGCGGGGAAACGCTGGGCGTAGTAGGGCGGCCGAGGCCTTGGGAAACGAGGTATTTGGGAGGAGATGACGGCTCATCGTGGCTGTGTATTGGGTAGTGGTTGGCTATTCATCAAAGAATACAGTCCCAGATTCAACAAGAATGAAAATTCTGGTCGTCAAGTCCGAAACTGTATCATCATATGTTGAATCCGGCGAAACCACCAAAGTATTGCACGCGACGATCGAAACTCGGCCATGTGGGGACGGGCCCTGGATGCAGTGGGTCACGTGGAAGTCTTGTCTTGTTCCAACGTCTGTTCGAAACTTTCAGGGACGGTTTTGTGCTGTAATTGCAATACAAAGGGAGTACCTGGATAGAGTACCATGACCTGTTCTCTTTTGTTTTTGCGTCTCGAATGCATCTTCGAGGATGTAAATAAGGACTTGGTAGACTGTATAACCTTTCACTCTCTAGGTATATTCCGTCAATTTCGTATAGATTTAGCTTGTTTGTTCCAGTTTTTCGCCAAAGCTCATCACCATCGCCCAAAGTGGCGGCTCGATCGGGGTGCCGAAAATTACTCGGTTGGTGTGCAAATCGTCAAATGAGACGCTCCGACCACGTTCGCCGCATTTTGGATCTCTCTCCTCCAGACACCTGGACTTTCTGTTCAGCTTGCTCGAGGCACGTTTCCTCTCAGCTTCGTTCCTACATTTGGTTTCCGGATTGTAGCCACAATGAGTGCTACAAAAGCGCAGTCTCAAAAGATTTTTGAGAAGCTCAAGTTGAAGCCCGCAAACAAGGTGCGCATTGCCCCTCCTTTACTCGTCTATTGCCGTGCTAATCTGCGTTTCATTCAATAGATATGCTTTGACTGCGGCTCCAAAAACCCGACATGGTCGTCAGTGCCTTTCGGTATCTACTTGTGTCTTGACTGCTCGGCTCATCATCGTAATCTCGGTGTCCACATCTCCTTTGTTCGCTCCACGAACCTCGACCGTATGCAGCCCCTGCTCCTACCGCCTGTATCACAAGTCTTGAGGGCTAACTAGTTATGCACAGAATGGCAATGGGAGCAGCTTCGGATGATGAAGGTCGGCGGAAACGAATCAGCCACCAAGTATTTCCAATCGCATGGAGGATCCGCGGCTTTATCTAGCAAGGATGTCAAGATCAAATACACTTGCAACGCTGCTGTCAAGTACAAGGAGGAGTTGAAAAGACGGGCTGCGCAAGATGCTCAACAGTTTGTCATCCAGTGATTCCTCGACTTGGTCAGACACAAAAACGCTGATTTTGTCTCCTTCAGATACCCCGAGGAGGTCGTGATCACAGACATCCCCGCTGGCACTGCTTCGGACGGATCGAGTACCCCTGCTGGTGATGCGGACGACGATTTCTTCTCTTCGTGGGATAAGCCTTCTATCAAGCGACCCAGCAACCCACCTTCGCGCACAGGTACCCCTCCAGTAGTCAGCCGGACTGCGTCGCCCTTCCTGAACGCAGGTGCCAATGGCAATGGTTCTCGCTCGAAATCGCCTCTTTCGGCCTCGGACAAGGAGGCTTCTTCGCCTGCCCCGACCGCTATTCGAGCCAGCGCTTCTGTCCGGAAGGCTGCGTCTACAACTACCGCGAAGAAGGGCAGCGTTTTAGGCGCTAAGAAAGCGCCTAAGCTGGGTGCTAAGAAGATTGGCGGAGCGGAAGCCATCGATTTTGAGGAGGCGGAGCGAAAGGCCAAGGAAGAGGCAGAGCGCATCGAGAAACTCGGATACGATCCCGAAGTAGAACAAGCCGAGGCCGATGCCAAAGCCAAGACTTCCACCGCTGCCACCGCTATAGCTTCTCCCACTCCAATCAGCCCAGGAGCAGGTGGCTTCGGGTCCACTAGCAAATCTCATGAACGAAGCGCCAGTGAAGTGGAGCGCCTCGGAATGGGTATTGGAAGGCTGGGATTCGGCCAGACTGTTGGCGCAAAGCCTGCTCCCAAGAAGCTGGGATTCGGTTCTGTTGCTCCTGTCCGGACCGCCGAAGATGGTTTGTTCTATTTCCGTGATCCCTTGACCAGTTTTTGCTCGTATTCTGACCAAGTATCAGAGGAGGAACTTGAGCGTACCAGATCCAGATTCGGTAGCCAGAAGGGTATCTCATCGGACGAGTTCTTCGGACGGGATCGCTTCGACCCCACCGCGCAGGCAGAAGCTAAAGACCGACTTCGCCAGTTTGACGGGGCAACTGCAATCTCAAGCAACGCTTACTTTGGTCGTCCGGAGGATGATTTCGCTACTGGTGATGACACTTACGGCGATCTTGAGAATGCAGCCAAGGATTTCGTTCGCCGCTTCGGTATCACGGCCGGTGATGATCTCGAAAATCTGACACAGCTTGTGGGTGAAGGTGCTGTCAAATTGCAGGGTAAGTAACCTTGTCTTGAAATCTTGGCTTTCAAGATCTTGTCCGCCGACTAACGGTCTAAACAGGAGCTATCCGCAGCTATCTCAACAGTTAGATGCTTGGCAAATCGATTGTGTAGATGTTTCTTCTTCTCAGTGCAAGCATGATGCGCACCATGCTTGTTTCTACCTCATTCCCAGCAAGCCTTTTTGTTCGTTCAAATAGTTTTCTTCCTAGTACCTAACTGACTCATCAATATATCCTTCCTCCAGACTGTCGAAATCATGTACCGTGTAAGCACCCGGATTCTAATATCTGCTCTCAGTGTATTGTCCAATTTGTTGAGGTTTAGATCTGTCTACGTCTTGGGTGTACGTCTTGGGTGCGGCGCCTTGTAAAATAGAACTTGCATCTGAACAGCCTGATAGAGACCAAAACGTGATAAGGCCTGATATCATTACAGCGAGTGTCATCGATTTAGGCCCTCCTTGCCACTTCTTCCCGCTCATCCAATGGCATGTCGAAAAAGTGCACTGTTCTGAAACAGCCATCTATTTAGATTTCCGCAAGGCAATCGACCATAACGCTCAATATTCTACACGGTATATAGCATCAGCCACCTTGGCAACCTGCCACATCTCCTTGACATCGTGAACGCGCACAATATCCGCTCCACCAGCAATACTGGCGGTCACTGTGGCGGCGGTGCCCCAAGTCCGCTCGCTAGCCTTCTCCACGCCCGTGAGCCGGCCAATGAATCTCTTTCGACTCGGCCCCATCAACCAGGGGAAATACTCTAGCCCTTCGACACCCGTGCGGAACTGTTGCAGATCGCGCAGGATGGCCAGATCATGGGGCATATTCTTGGCGAAGCCGAGGCCCGGGTCGAGGATGATGCGCCAGCGCCGGATGCCGGCGGCTTCGGCGGCCGCGACACGCGTGAGGAGCTCGGCGCCGATGTCCTGGACGATGCCGTTCGGGTAGTCTGTTAACTTGGTCATTGTGGACGGGGTGCCGCGCATGTGCATCAGGATGACGGATTTGCCGGTCCGCGCCATGGTGGGTAGCATCTCCGGGTCGAGGGTGCCGGCGGAGACGTCGTTGATGATGTCTGCGCCGGCGGCGCATGCCTCCTCTGCCACTTTGGCGCGGTAGGTGTCGATGCTGATGGCGATGTTGTTGGCTTCGGGGATGGAGGTGCGGATGTGTCGTATTACCGGGATGACTCGGGCTAGTTCTTCGGCCTCGCCGACTGGGGCTGAGCCGGGGCGGGTACTCTCGCCGCCAATGTCGATGATCGTTGCGCCGGCTTTGATGAAGTCGCGGACGGTCTCAGTGAGGGCGGGTAGGTCCTGCGAGTAATGCCTGCCGCCGTCGGAGAAAGAATCAGGGGTCACGTTGAGGATGGCCATGATGTGAGTTGGACGTTTGGGGTCCGTAGAGCGCAGCGGCGGAAAGTGCGGAGATATGTGAGTGGTGGCCACTGGTACTGGTTCTGGAGGCGGAAGTGACTTCAGGTAGGATAGATAGCTTCTGTTCTGTCCGGGAAGAGGGGGTTGCTCATGAGGGATAAGTCTGTTTGTGATTCATGAGTCTTGATGCCGGGGCAGGGTGCGTTCACTCTTCGCATACTCACTGGCAAAGGGGTCGTAGGACAAAATCCCGTTCCAGCATCAACTTGTGCGGGATGTTGAGACGCTCATGGGAAAAGACTTCTTGGTCATAGAGGAGAATGTCCAAATCAATGGACCGTGGGCCTTTATCAATAAGCTTCTTTCGCCCTAGAGCCAACTCAATCGATTGCAGTGTGTCCAACAATTCGAGAGGCCCTAAGCTGGTTTCCACCTGTCAAAGACAGTCAATAGAATGGCCCCGAAGCATGCTTGGATGAACTGACCTCACAAACACCATTCATGAAAGGGTCTTGATCAAGAACGTACATCGGTGAAGTCTCAAAAAGAGAGCTCGTTCTCTTTACCCTGATGCGGGCCCTTTCCATCTCCTTGCAAGCTTTTTCAATCATTTCAACACGCTCACCAATATTGCTCCCAAGGGCAATATAGGCCCGGTGCATAGGAGTACTATCAGGGTTCATCCCGGCATTAAATGCATTCCTATGAGCGGCGGAGAAATTGCGGTATTGAGACACGTGCTTCAAAGACACATTCTTGACGTTCTCGGGTTTCAAGTTAGGCAATATTCGCTTATGAAGATAGCTAGGTGTCCGTAACCCTGGAAATTCGATATTAGCCTCAAAAGCTACACCGGAAGGGCCACGGGCCACAAAGAACACCCGGTCACATCATTGATCGAGCGCCGACAGTTCATGGGCTTATGTCTCAGAGATGCATACTTGAACCGGAAGTAGAGATAAATCTATGGTCTAGTAGGTTAGACTATATTGGTACAGCATAAATAACATGGTACTCGGAGGAAACAGAAAACCTGCCTCTTCGTCTGACTGTAATGAGATCTTATGCAGTCTGGCATACAAACTTCCCTCAACGATTCGTTCGAAGTTTGTGGTAAGCTGGACAGCAACAGGCGCGCCCCGGAAGACTGCCGCAGACGAGAGCTACAAGCAGCGGACCTTAGTGATACAGCATTGGAATGCCAGCTAAAAGCCGAGCAATGTCTCATGCTGACCGGTCAAAACACCACGAGATGCAGCTGCGTTACGAGGCTCCAGTACCTGAAGAAATCA